ATCTTTCTCCCACAGAGCAGTTGGTAGGTTCAAACCACCAACCTTTGGGTGAGCAGCCACATGCCCTAACCACTATGCCACCAGAGATATGTTAAAAATCAGGGAGGTACACTGCAAATGACAACCAAAAACCAGAAACTAAACTCACTGCCATTGAGTCAGATCCAACTCATAGCAGCCCCTCCTTGGGTTTCTGAAGCAGTATCACCATGAAAGTAGATTACCCAACCTTCCGTCCGAGGAGTGGCTAGTGGATTTGAACCACCAGCCTTCTGGTTAGCAGTCAAGTGTCTTAGGCACTACGCCACCAGAGCTCCCACAAATGACAAGGTCTGGGAAACACTGTAAAACCAGGTCCCGCTTCAGCATTCCAGCTCTGGAGTCAGACAGGGCTGGGTTCAAGTCTCAGCTGAAACTCACTGAGGTCCCAGTATCTGATCTGTGAGATGGGGGCAGAGGCAGCAGCACTGAGGCTGGCTCTGAGGACTGCCCCAGACACACGCACAGCAAACACAAAATGTGCCCCTTTACTTTGCCTCCCAGCTTGGGGGCTCCTTCCTTGTCCCTGATTGCTCCCTCCACTGTCCTGTTGCCAGTTACCTCCCAAAAGCACCCTCAGGGTTGGGCTCCAGCTGGTTGTCTTGTCTAAGGCTGGAGTCCCCAGGCACTGCAAGCTGTTGGAGATTGTGGTGGTTATGTTTGTGTGTCAGCTTGGCTGGGCCTGGTTGAGTGGCTGGGCAGCTGGTGGTAGTTATAACCCATGATGAGACTGGCAATCAACTCCATGGTGGGATCTACCACAAGCAGCTGAGTAGCTGCCTTTGGGATGTGGTCTGCTTCCTGTATATAAACAGAAGCCTTGAGGATAGTCTTGAGCTATGGCACGTTTGGATACTGTATGTAGCCGTGTTGTTGTTCAGCAGCCTACCATGCTCTGCCAACCTTGGGACTTACAATGGACTTAAATTAATGGCCTGCTATATAGTTTGGTAACATCGGGACTGTGCCTTTTTACTTGTCAACCTTGGGCTTCTCAGCTTCAGCAGCCAGCAGCTGTCTGAGTGAAGAAATACCTCTAGCTCCAGTGGGCCGGGAGCAGGAGGCAGAGCTGGACCCCAAGGTTAAGGGGCTTTCACCCAGCTCCTAGGGCCTGGCACTTTGAACTTGGACTTAAAGCCTCCTCCTGAACTGTAAGAGAATAAATAAACTCCTGTTTGTTAAAGGTCATCCCATTTGTGGTATATTTCTTGTCAGAGCGGCACTAGGTAACCAGAACAGAGGTGTCTACAATATTCCTATAAGGCCCAGTAGAAAGGTTATGGAGTCAGATCTGGGGCTGAATCTTCCCTCTGCTCCTTATTTATTAGCTGTAGACCCTGGGCAAATTGCTTAGCGTCTCTGAGCTTCCGTTTTCTTTTTCGTAACATCACAGATTTGTCACGAGGACTAATGGTCTAACTAGCAAATACTGTTAGCTGCCATCAAGTGGGGCTCCAACTCATGGTGACCCCATGCATAATGGGGCCAGACTGCTGTGATCCACGGGGCTTTCACTGGCTGAGTGTGGAAAGAGATGACCAGGCCTTTCTTCTGAGTCTGTCTGAAAACCGCTGGAACTGTTCAGCATCACAGGAGCAGGCAAGCTTCCACTGACTCGGCGGTGGCTGTGCCTCAGGTGCACTGGCCCGGAATCAATCCCAGATCTCCCACACGGAAGGTGAGAACTCTACCACTCACCCACCAATGTCTCTTAACCAAACACAGTATATTTCAATAAAATCATTATACATATGTCTCAAAAGGGAGAGGGGATGTTTGGGAGCGATGGAAATGCTCTAAACACTGATTGTGGTGCTGGTTACTGGGACGCATACATTTCTCAGATTTCACCAAAATGTATGTAAATTGTTGTTTGTTGCCATGGAGTCAATTCCAATCACGGAGGCCCCTTGTGTGCAGGGCAGAACTGTGCTCCACAGGGTTTGACCTTTGGGAAGCAGATCACCGGGTCTGTCTTCTGAAGCACCTCTCAACAACAAGGTTGGTTCAAACCACCAACCTTTCGGCTAGTAGTTGAGTTCATCGTTTGTGCCATCCAAAACCAAACCACTGCCATCACGTCGATTCTGACTATAGCGACCCCCATTGGGTTTCCAAGGCTATAAATCTTTACAGAAGTAGATTGCCCAGTCTTCCTTTTATGGAGTGGCTGGTGGGTTTGAACTGCCAACCTTCTGGTTAGCAGTCAAATGCCTTACGCACTGTGCCACCCCTCCTTTGTGTTATCCAGTATTCCCCGAATATAAATGACTCCTCAGTAAAATTGATTAAAGGAAAACCCACCACACAAGATGGACTGGACAAGAAGACACTACCAAGTGGGCAGCAGCCAGGCCTCGAGGCCATTAGGCAACAGAGGGCAGAGCCTCTCCAGTTTCCAGGGTAAACGATGGCAAGAAGATCTGGACCCCCTGCCCTTGCCCACCCTCAGGTCCTCTCCACACCACCCTGGAGCCCCTATCATTGCATCCCAGGCCGACTTCTTCCCCACCCAACCTGCTCCCCAGGCCGGCTGTCAACTCTCATCTTCATCTCCTCCAACCTTTATCACCCTGTAATCGGGGCCAGGAGGTATGGGCAAGTCGCCATCATTCCATGCCACCTACTGTTTCCTTACAGATAACCCTGGCAGGGCAGGGCAGCCCCCAGGGTGGAATGGGTGCTGTCCGGAGCAAAGATCAAAACTTCCCCTCACCCACTTCCCCATCTGCACCCTCAAGATACTGGTTTTCTCCCACAGCCAAAGCAGGTGCCCACAGGGAGCTGGAGATGAGGTGCCAGAAGCCCGAAAGGATGCTAACGTGGATCGAGCTCTGTCGATGCCCAAAAAATTCCTATGAAATGGAAATCATTCCCATTTTTTTCAAACCGACAAACTGAAGCTCAATGTTAAGGGATTCTTTGGAAGAAGGGAGCAGGGAGGGAGGGGCAGGATCCACCTCCACATCCCTCCCATTCCTTAGGCTGAGCTTGTCAGCACAGCTCTCCCCTTCCCAGAACGGAAGATAGTCATCAGAACAACCAAGCCTCAAGACCCAGACACTAGGGGAGCAACTCCCTGCCCACAGGAAACCTGCAGCTGTTAGCTCCCAAGGAGTCCTGGGTTTCCCACTCCCTGGTCCTGGGTCAAGGAGCCCTGGTGGCGCGGTGGGGTTATTGCACTTCTGGATGCTAACCAGAAGGTCAATGGTTCAAACCCACCAGCTGTTCCACAGGAGAAAGATGTGGCAGTCTGCTTCTGTAGAGATTACAGCCTTGAAAACCCTGTGGGGCAGTTCTACAGAGTCCTACAGACTCGCTGAGTCGGGACTGACTATGAGCAGGAACTGACTTGATGACAGTGGGTTTAGTTTTGGGTTTTTGGCTCTGGGCCACTCACACAAAGCCAAGGTGATTGAAAGGGTAAATAAACCAAAATAGGGACCCTCCAAAAATGCCAGGAATCTCTGGGGGGATAAAAGAGTTAAGCTCGATTCCTTGCCAAAAAGTTGGTGGTTTCAACCCACCCAGACGTCTCAGAAGACAGGCTTGCCAACTGCTGCCAAAAGGTCACAGCCAACAAAACCTATGAAGCAGTTCTACTCCGTGCACGGGGGTCATCACTGTGCCTTGGAACTGATTCCATGGCAACTAACACACAGGTCCTCTGAAGACCCGGGGTGATAGATCCTGACCAAGAGAAGAGTGCAGGGCCTCTACATTCACACTCCACTTCCTGAGGTTTTCCTTCCTGTTTAGCCTTTAAAAATCAGGTGCCTTTGAGTTGACTCCGACTCTTGGTCCCCCGTGTGTGTCAGAGCTGAACTGTGGTCCCCGGGTTTTCAACAGCTGATGATACCACTACATCATCAACCCTTTCTCCTGCCAAAGAGCAAACCAGTCTCTGTCATCATTAAAGGCAAAGAGTTTTATCGAAGTGACAGAGCAATCCGGATCAGGCAGCACCTCAGGAGGATTCACAGAAGTCCTCTGGCAAAAGGAATTTTCACAGATTTTAAGTGGAGAAAATCCAGCAATTTACCAGGAAAAAAATTCTGACTGGCTTACATTGACCAAATCATGCTTTAACAGATAAGAGGAGGCGGCCAGCAGGCTTCCTGAGGGTCTCTGGCTAACTGACTTTCAAGTCTGGTCAGAATGAGCAGAAAACAACAAAAATGGAGTCTGGCCTACATCTTAGGCAAACTCCTTATGCCAAACATCGAGATTTAGGGGAGCTCTGGTGGTATAGTGGAAGCTCTGGTGGCATAGTGTCTAAGGCACTTGGCTGCTAACCAGAAGGCTAATGGTTCAAACCCACCAGCCACTCCTTGGAAGGAAAACTGAGCAAGTCGCTATGAGTTGGAATCAACTCCACAGCAGTGAGTTTGGTTTTTTTTGGTGGTGGTGTTTTTCACACTTCCAAGGTTATCTCCAGGTAGACTGGAACCTCAACCCTACCTGAACTCATGAGTTGTTTCTACTGGCCAAGTACGCCTATGCACCCAAGTATGCCTATGCACCCAAGTATGACTTTGCAGCCTTATTATAGCCCTGTATGAGTCGGGGCCGACTCGACGGCACATAACAACAACAACAACAAAGAAATCCCTAATGGTGCAAACCTTCTCCTTCCAGTGTCCCTCCTGCACTAGATCAGAGGCTCTAGAGGTTAGGATCCTGCTGTTTAGTCCCAGGATCTGGGTGCCCAGCACCGTGCCTGGCATTCAGTGACCATTCAGTGACCAGTGGAGTTGACGAACAAGGCAGACGAGGTAGCATGCCACCCACTCTCCAGATCAACTTTGATGGGCTCAAGATGAGAAGCCATCCAATTCCCAGCCCAGTGCTCTGACCTGAGAAGCCCTAATTTCTGTCCTGTGGGCCACCTGTCCTTTTCCTGCTTCCAACTTCCCCCTGTGCCACCCCTACCCCAGCCCTCCTGGCCTTCTTGGGCATACCTGGGCACAGGCTGGAATAGAAGCCCTCCTTCTTGAGCATGAGCAGCAGGGAGCCCCAGCCCAGGAGCACAGCGGAGAAGAAGAGGTTTTCCAACACGGCCGTGCAGGCCATCCACCAGCGCCTCCGGTACGCCTGCTGCAGTGTGGGGGCCATGCTGGCCGCGAGCCTGCACAGGAACAGAGCGCTGAGCCAATGGACCTTCAGCGGCCCTTGGGAGGGGTCCTGCATAATGGTGGTTCCTGAGACCCCTCGGGCCGGCCCTAGAGGAGACCTTCATGGAGGTCCCATAGGGCCGTGGGATTCTCAGCGGGTGCCGCCGGGCCGGGTCCAGGCGCACTGGCAGTGCCAGGGGCGCACGCGGCGCTGGGCTCCTGCTGGGCCACTATCACAAACAAGGAAGGTCCTGTCTGCGCACAGCGGCTTCCTGGCGCGCAGCCGGTCTCTCCCACCCAGGGCAGGGCGCGCAGAGCCCGGCTCCCGGGGGCCAGACCCGCACTTGCCCAAGTCCCCAAAGATCAGCAGGGGCCAGAGCGCGCGCTGAGGCCACTGCTGGCCCGTGTCTGGCCTTCAGCGCCAGGAAAGACCCCCGAAGCAGGCAGTTGGAAGAAGGGGAAGTCTGAGGCTAGCCCAAGAGCCCCTCTTCCTGTCGCCCCTCTAAGACTACTCCTCCACTCGGGCCGGGCCAGAGCAAGCCCTCCCCCCTTTCCACAGCAGGCGACTCATGTCCCTACAGTCTCTCGGGCCAAGCCAGCAGCTGCCACGTGGACGGAGACCCAGGGCTGGCCCTCCCGCGGCCTGGCCGCCCCCCACGCCCCTCACTCACGCGGCAGGACTCGGGGCGGCGCGCTGAGCGCTTCTGCCCGCCCGCCCCTCCGGCCCGGCGAGGGGGCTCGGGCAGGAAGTCGGGCGGCCGCTGACTTTATAAGGGCAGCGGCGGCGGATGGGCTGGATGGCGGACGGGCGGGTGTGTTTACCAGAGGGAGGGAAGGAGCCCGGGCTCCCCCCCGCCGCGGCCGGGGCCGGGACGCGGGCGGCGCGGGGGCGGGGATCGGCCCGGGGAGCGACCGCGAAGCGCAGAAGCGCGAGACCAGGACGGAGGGAAGGAGATCCCGAGCCACGTCCCGCTGGGGACCTCAGTCCCCACATGTGTGAAGTCGGGCTCGGGCTTCGGCGCTCCCGGAGGTCCGCTCCAACTCTGACAAGAGCAGAGGAAGTGAAGCAATTGGGGACCGGGAGGAAGGCGAGGGTCGGAGGGGCCTGGGGACTCGGGAGGGAGGAACGTGCTCGCGGGGGCGGCGCGCTTGGAGAGACGCGGCCACGCGCCACCGGACCCCAAGTTCAGGTAACGGGCTTTCCTCGGGGAGCCTGGGAGTGCCGCAGGGAGCCCGTCCGCGTGGCTCAGCCGACGCCCAGCCCGGGGCACCCCATCCCAGCCGCCTCTCACCTCCGAGCCCGGGGAACGCGCCAGCTACAGCCTCAGGGAGCGCAGCGCCGGGGCGGCGCGTCCACAGCCAGGTGTCCCGGGTCCCGCCGGCCCGGCCCTAAGCGGCACCGGCGTTGGGGGCTACTCTGCCCTTGGGCCGGACAGCCCTGCGTTCTTGCCTCTCTGCCCCTCGGGAAGAAGTCGTGGAGCTGGGGACCCGCCGGGCGGCCGCGATCCGATGAGGGGAGCATGGACCAAAAGGATGCAGGCATTGGTAGTTGCATTTACACAGGTCCCAGGCTGCGCCCCGAGGTGGGGGCGGGGCGCCCGTCCCTTCCCCTCCCTCTGGATCGCGTTTCATGCCCACGTGACTGGACCGCTGGGTCCCAGGGACTCGCCCCCGGCTCACACCCCAATGCTTATAATTTCTACCTCTCCACACTCCGCCACCACCCTACCCTCTGGCCCATATACGAGTGTCAAAGGCGCCTCCTGTAACGGTAGTCAAAACAAAAAGCACTTGGCTAGAGCCGACCCACCGAGATGCAGTGCAGGCTGGGGCGGGGTTTTGAAACTGCAGTTGGCTGTGAAGTTTTCCGAGAAGTGGAATAACACGGGCTTCTTTGGAGTTAGTCAGATGCACCGAGTCGCAACTTTGAAAGTGACTGGCTGGGTTACCTTGGGAAAGTTACTTAACTTCTCTGAACCTCAGTTTCCTCCTCTAGAATTCGGGTAACAATAGTACCTACCTCAGAGAGCTGCAGGGAGGAATTACAGGTTGTGATGCAGATAAAATACTGAGCACGCTTTCTGCACTATCTTGTTAATCTTTGTTGAAAGTAATAATATCTGTCTATGTGTGGCTCTCAGCAGGGCTTGTTTGATCCAAGAACACTATTTTGTAATGGTAAATAGCATTGCCATTGTTTTGCTCAACAGGCACGATTTTTCTAGCCCGTTTGGTCTAATACATTATTTATATTAAACGTCAGGCACAAATGTATTCATTGACAAACTACAATCTTCGGAACAAATCTGGCTAGCTGCTTGTTTTTTTTCAAATTTTTTCTTAATTTATTGGAACATATACAAACACGAGCACAGCACTTGGTATGTAGTAAGCAAAACAAATGTTAATTATTGTTGTTGTCATAGCCATGATTATTACTTCAGAAGACCTCGTGATCAGAGGCTTTCAGACACTTACTGAAATACCAGAAATGCAAGCTGTATTCAGAAGAGGACATGGAACCAGGGATGTCATTGCTGATGTCACATGGCTCTTGGCTGAAAGCAAAGAGTACCAGAAAGATGTTTTCCTGTGTTTTATTAACTATGCAAAGGTATTAGACTGTGTGGATCATAACAAATTATGGACAACACTGAGAAAAATGGTAATTCCAGAACATTTCATTGTGCTCATGCAGAACCTGTACATAGACAAAGAGGCAGTTGTTTGAACAGATGCATGGTTTAGAATCAGGAACGCTGTCAGAGCCGTATTCTTTCACCATACTTATTCGACCTGTATGCTGAGCAAATAATCCTAGAAGCTGGACTATATGGGTTAGAATATGGGTTAGGATATGGGAGGAAAACTTGTTAACAACCTGCAACATGCAGATAACACAACCTTCTTGCTAAAAATGAAGAGGACTTGAAGCACTTACTGATGCAGATCAAAAACTACAGCCTTCGGTATGGATTACGTCTCAACATAAGGAAAACAAAAATCTTCACAACTGGACCAATTAGCAACATCATGGTAAGTGGAAAAAAAAGATTAAAGTTGTCAAGGATTTTATATTACTTGGATCCATAATCAAAAGTATGAAAGCAAGAAATCAGAGGACACACTGCACTGGGCAGATTTGCTGCTTGGAGGTTGGAACCACTGACCTTTTGGCTAGCAACCATATCCCTTAACCACTACATCACCAGAGCTCCTACTTAAATTATAGTGTTGACAAAGGATGTTAACTGTAACATGGACTGTCAGAAGACCAAACCAATCTATCCTGGAGGAAGCACAGCCAGAATGCTTAGAAGCGAGGATGGTGAGACTTCACCTTATGAACATTGGACTGGTTATCAGGAGGGAGCAGTCTGTGGAGCAGGACATCATGGTTGGTAAAGTGGAGGGTCAGCAAAACGGAAGATCGTCAACATGGTGGCTACAACAACGGGCTCACGTGCAGCGGTAATTGGGAGAACGGTGCAGGGCCGGGCAGTGTTTTTTGTTGTGCATAGGGTCTCTGTGGCTTGGAGCCAACTTGACAGACCTAACAACGTGTGACTTTTTCTTAGCAAGGCCTTATTTTATTGGAGATTATTATTTTCAAATTAGTAAACAGTATTAGCATTGCTTTGCTCAACAGGCACGTGTTTCTAGCCTGTTTGGTCTAATATTTTATTTATGTTAAATGGCGGGCACATATTCAGTCATTGACAAACTACAGCCTTTGGACCACATCTGGCTGGCTGCTTGTTTTTTCAAATAAAGTTGTATTAGACACAAACACTGAGCACAGCACTTGGTACATAAAAAACAAAAACCAAACTCACCACCGTCGAGTTGGTTCCAACTCTTAGTAACCCCTCCTTGGGTTTACCAGGCAGTATCATTACTGAAGTAGATTACCTAGTCTTCCTTCTGAGGAGTGGCTGGTGAGTTTGAACTGCCAGCCTTCTGGTTAGCAGTCAAGTGCCTTAGGCACTATGCCACCAGAGTATTAATTATTGTTGTTGCTGCTGCTGTCATCATTATTATTTCAGAAGACTTTGTGATCAGAGGCTTTCAGACACTTCCTGATTGATCCCAGTAAACCTCTCAAACTTCCTGATCCTCAGTTTTCTCACCTGTAGAGCATGGAGTCTTCCTTCCCAGGAGTGGCTAGTGGGTTTGAACTGCCAGCCTTCTGGTTAGCAGTCAAATGCCTTAGGCACTACACCACCAGAGCTCCTCATAATTGTCTAGTGACTGTTAAAGTATCATTTGGTAAATGTCAACCAATCAGAATTTTTCCTTAAAAGTTCCTGAATTTTCTGTACTTAAACCCATGAAAAATTGCTGGAGTACTTTTTTGAATCCTCACGCTGTTCCCCCTGCTTGCCCATCTCTCCAGGCGCGGGGAACAGCGTGAACAAAGACATGGAGTCCTCTGGGCAGGAGCTGAGTATCAGGCTCTGCTGGTTTCCCTTCTTAAAATGCACAGGTGGCTCCCAGAATTCCAGAGCAAGGGGAAACGCTTAGCTAGATCAAGGCTTTCTAACCCCAACCCACGTTCGCATGCTTTCCCCTCGTGGCCTGCCAGCTCCAGGAGGACAGTGGCCTGGTCCTTCAGGCTCACTGCTGTATCCCAGCACCTAGAACCGTGCCCGCACCTACCAGGTCCTCAGGGAGCACCTGTGGAGTGATACGTGGCGCCAGCTGCTCTCACACCTCCAGCCTGTGCACTGCTGTCCTTCTTGTGAGAGCGACAGGTTCCCTTCTTCCTTTCCAGGCTACTCCTCCTTCACAACTCAGCTTAAACTTCACCTCTTTCTGGAAGCTGGCTCTGATCTCCTAGTCCTGCCCCTTTAAACCAAAAAACCAAACCTGCTACCATCAAGTCGATTCCGACTCCTAGCAACCCTATAGGACAAAAGAGAACTGCCCCATAGAGTCTCCAATCCTGTAAAGTTTTACAGAAGCAGAGGGCCACATCTTTCTCCTGTGGAGTGGCTGGTGG